GAAGGGCCTGCCCAGGGAGAGGACCAGCCGCGGGTGGAACGCATCCCAGCCCAGAGCGGTCTGCTTCGGGAACGATTTCGCCGCCTCGAGGATGTCGTCCGCCGTGATAGGGGGCAGCTCCATGGAGCAGATCCAGTCGGCTGGTCTGGACCTGCACTCCCCGTCGGCACCTTTCCAAAGGGCCTTCCACTCAATGAGGATCTGGTCCAGGGCTTGCTGGCCAACAACTGGGAGCGGCAGGCTGTCGGGGCAGTGCGCGGTCACCGAGTCCAGCACCTGGTCACGGTCCTTTATGACTGCGTGGGCGCCCTTTGCCCCCTTCGCCAAGGCCTCGTCCACGAAGTCCTTCCAGCGCAGCCTGGCCGCCTTGGCGTCTTCTTTGCGATGCCTCTCCGTCGTGCTCTCGATCATCTGCAGGAAGGCTTGCCCTTGCTCGGTGGGCTCCTGGATGACGTCTATCAGCGAGTCAAGCTTCGAGCCTTCGAACATGGTGCAACCCGCCTGCTCGAACTTGGGCCCCAAGCTCTTTGCCACCTGCACCAGGTGCTTGATGTAGCCGACGTGCCCCGCAGGGGGTGAGCAGACCGCAGCAGCCGCCCTGAGCTGCCTGGCGATCCTCCCGAGGCAGAGCCAGCACTTGGTGATGGGGCTGAGCTTTCTGACAGCCTCTGTGCGCTGCAGGTCCGCCAGCTTCTTCTTGACGGTGCGGGGACCTTTGGCCCTGCCCTGGTACCTCTCTCCCTGGTAGATGTCGAACTGGTCGATCAGGTGGAGCTCCGCGGCCTCGAAGAACTCCTTGATCGCCGCATCGGGCGTGCCGTCTCTGTCGGTGATGGGGGCTGTCCAGCTGATCTGGGTCGCCGCCTGCAGGGATATCTCACGCTGCTCGGCCGAGACCTCCGAGCCCACCTCGAAGACCCTGGGGGTCTTGAGGACCCAGACCATGGCGTTGCTGCCCAGCTCGCTGAACGTGAGCCGCACTGGTGCGTGCGGGTTCAGTGTAGTGGGCTTGATGACCTCCACCTTCGGGCTGAGGCCGGCGAGCGCCGTGGAGATCACGAAGAAGTCGTAGATCTGGTCGCCGCAGGTGAAGGTCGCGGGCGCGACTACCACCCCGCCCACAGCCCGTGGCCACCAAGAGGCGGCGAGCAAGCTGGGGTCCATATTCCAGTCGGCCCCCACTATGAACGGCTCGTGGAGGCTGAACAGGAACTCCTGGAGGTCCGACAGCAGCTCCAGGTTGTAGCCAGCCATCCTGGTCGTGTGCTCGAGGTAGGCGCTGACCACCGTAACCACGAGATCGCCGAAGGCCACCCGTCGGGCCAGGATGCGGGCACTGTGCTGGTGCCAGTCGTGGTCGATAGCCGCCACGCCCCTAGACTTTGACGTCAGCGCCCCGACGCCCGCCGAGACCGCCTGGGCCGCCTGCCCCGTGCTGTGGACGCTGCCGAAGGCAGCGCTGAAACAGTTGCGCCTGGCCCAGCTGCAAGCGTCAGTCGCCTTCTGGCTGGAGGTGAAGCGTGTCTCCTGCACCAGGATGACGTCGTCGCCTCCTCCTTCGTCCTGGATCCGCTCCAGCTCCACCTGCGTCTCTGTCCAGGTCGAGCCGTTCAGTGTGACGAAGCTGGCTCGCTTCGCTCCCACTGGCCTGATCAGCTTGGCCAGCTGGAGGGGCTTGACCTGCGGTCGACCAGGCTGAGGCTGCGCCGCAGGCTTCACGACTGCCGCGGCGGCCGAGCGGCCGCCAGGCGGGCGGCTGCTCGCCGCCTTGGGTCTCCGAACCTCGGGGGGTCTCACGCCCTCGCCCGTAGCCTGGTCAACTTGAAATGGGTACCCACTATTCCTTATGGGCCCCTGGCTGGGCTGAGGACTGCCAGTCCTTCGGTCGGGCCCAGCCAAGTCCGCCGCAGCGCTTGGCTCTGGACTGCTGCTGAGTGCCTCGAACTTGGCGTCGTGGCGCGCGTCATCAAAGCGCCGGTCCTGGCGCAGCAGCGGCACTCTGAAGGGAAGCCCTTCCCAGGCGTCGGCCTGCTCATTGGCCGCCAGGTAGGCGTGCAGGCCGCCTCTCGATGGCGCCGCCGCCTCGGGGCGGCTGGGCTCCGCCGCCTCTGCCTCCTCAGCCCCGACTGGGGCGGGCGGCGCCGCACCGTCGGGGCCGCCTCCTGGCAGCAGGGTGCTACCCGCAGGTCTGGCCACTGCCAGCAGCAGCGCCAGCAGCAGGTGGAGGGGCCGCCGCAGCGGCCTTCTGGTCGGCTGCGCGCTGGCGGGCCGCCTCGTCTGCCGCTCGGCTCTCCACAGCGGCCGCTGGGGGGGGTCCAGCTCCTGGCGCAGCGCCTGCGGCTGGGGCGGCGGCGGCAGCAGGGGCGGCCGCCTGTCCTGAAGGTTGAGGCGGGGCGGCAGCACCCTGCTCGGGGGTGCCAGCGGCCTCGGCTGCTGCAGGCCCCTCCTCGGAGCGCTTGCGCTTCTTGGCCACCTCCTCCTCGATCTGGCGCTTGATGCGCTGCTGGTGCTCCTGGCAGTTGCGCTCGAACGTAGCCTGCGCGCCCTGCATGATCTGGAGCCCTTCCTCGCAGAGGCGCCTGAGGGTGGCCTGCGCCTCCTCCTCCAGCTCCGCGAAGTTGTCGAACGACTCCGCGTCGAAGTTGAAGGTGAGCTGCTTCGCTCCGTCGGGCTGTGCGCCCACAACGCCAGCCGCCTGGGCCCGCTGGCGCAAGAGGGCGTTCTCCTCCTCCTTGGCCTCCGTGAGGTTGACCGCAGCCTCGTCGCGCCAGCCGCGGCACTGGGCGAGGTGGTCCTCCGCCGCCACGAGCGCATCCGCCGCCTCGTCGAGCTGGCGCTGGAGGTTGATCCGCTTCGCCGTGGCAGACTGCAGCCGCTGCTCGAGTGGCTTTGGCGCTGGGGCGGCCGCGGGCGCGACGAAGCACCGCGCGTCGCGGACCGCCTCCTGCAGCCTGGCCGCGATGGCGGGGTCCCCGCAGGCGAGGAGCGCGTCGAGCTCGCTCTCGGGCAGGGCCGACCAAGGGGCCTTCGGGAAGGCGCCTCCACCACGGCCGCCCGCGCCTCCGACGCCGCCGCCACGGGAGGCTGCACCGCCTCCGCCGCCACGGGAGGCTGCACCTCGGCCTTTGCCGCCCTTGCCGCCCTTGGCGCCATCCCTCGGTGAGCCTCCGCCGCCGCCTCCACGATGCGCGGGCGGGGAGCCGCCGCCGCCGCCATCCGCCCAGACCCCGACGCGGGGCGAAGGCTTCGAGGGCGCCAGCTCCAGCCCAATCCCACACTGCCAGCACTCCGCGTTCTTGCGGAAGTTCCAGCGGTAGCGGCAGCCCGTGCACACGACGAAGCCAGGCTCGGCCTTGGGCCCCATCGCTGGAGCGGGCGGGCGTGCTGCTCAGCCGCGGGCGTGCGGCAGGCAGGAGTCGACGGGGGCGGACCCACCGACTCGGAAGAAGGCGTGACCCGCAGGTCCTGGAGGGTGCTGCGGTGGCAGCACTCGCAATTTGGAAAGGAAGGTGGCCTCAAAGCGGAACCTCCCTCGCGCTCAGAATTCGCCCCGAAAGACTCGCGGTCGTCGGGGCGGTTCATTGCCTTGAGCCAAAATGGCTACGGATTTCGCGAGGACATTGGATAAGGAACCATCTGATAGGGAATCCAGGGTCTCAAAACCTAGTGAAACACCAACTGAGGACTGGCCGTGGATATCACCGCCGCCCTCATCAGATACAGAACCCTCCCGGGTCTGATGCCTCCTGGGCGCATTCCTTAACCAACGGCTCCACCGTAGTACACATCCATTTTGAGACAACGCTGGTCGGCTGAACTTTTCCATCGCAGTGCTTGCACTATGGGTTTCTTGATGCTTCCTAAGCAACTCGGCGCGAGTTCCAGATTTCCAGCTCGTTGTCACCTCGTGGGCGCCCCGGAGGAGCCCGTCGCTTTGCACAGATTTGCGTTGTGTTGCGTCGCGTTTCGCTGCTTTCCGTTGCTTTGTGTTGCCTTGCATTGCGCTGCATGGCTTTTGGTTGCTTCGCGATGCTTTGAAATGCGGTGCGTTGCGCCACTGCTTTGGGTCCACACTGGGACCATCACTGCCTTCCGTGATTCGCCAATTCCAACTGGGGGCCACGCCTGGCACTCGCTTTTCGAGCGAGCGACCACGCAAGAGATGATGACGAGAACAATCATTACAGCGGTTATAGCAACGATGATGAAGATGCCGATGACGGTAACAGAGTCCTCCCCAATCCCCAATGGTATCCGAATAGATGGGGTCGGAGGATCCCGATGCATCGCCGATGTCGGCGATGCATCGCCGACGTCGCGTGGCGAACATCGGGCTCCACATCGAGCCGTATCGGCGATGCATCGGCGATGCGGCGCGATCCTCCGACGTCATCTACTCGGACCCCATGCGGGATGCCTGGAGGCAACGCTCGGGGAATACATAATAACATACAATCGGGGCGTTGACCTAAGGAACCCTAAATAAGGAACGAGGCCCCTTTTTTCAATAAGTTAAACTTCGATTCCCCATCGAAAACCTAAGGACAACCTAAGGCAAGCTGCGAAACACTGAAGGAGCACGGAGCCCCTCCCCAACGAAAACGACTGTAAACCTAAACTTTCGGAGGTACGCGTGGAGCTCTCGGGTCGGCGCCGGAGCCCCCCGGCGGCGCCTCTGGCGCCGCCCCTGACGCGCTCCGCGCTCCAGGGAGGGGGCTCCAGCGCCGATCCGAAAACTCCGTGCGGACCTCCGAAAGTTTAAGTTTGTGGCATGTCGTGTTCCTCGGGACGATTTTGAGGACGAGGGCACGGGGCCCCTAGGGGCACGATAAACTTACGGTGCGGGGATGCAAATTTGGGCCGCTACACTACAGCGTCAGGACTCAAGAAGGGGCCGATATGCACGTGGCAAATTCAGATCTGTAGCGGACCGGGACCCCAACAAGCGCACCCGCATCTTCACTGGTACGTCGCCCTCCGCGCGCAGTGCTGGGGGCGTCCTGCATGAGGGCCTTCAGCTCAGCTCTCAGGCCCTGGTCTGCGCCCTGCCTGCGGCGGGCAGGCAGGGGCGCGCGGCCCCTGCTGGGCGGGGCCCTCGAGGGAGACACGCGTCAAGAGGCGCCCGATCCGAGCACGTCCAGTCAAGCTCCATCCGGGCCTGTCCCCGCCCCTCACCCGGTCCAGCCCAATCGAATCACTCGTCCTTCGCGAGACGGAGAAGCGGACGGGAAGGATCAACAGAAGGGGGAAAGAGGCTGAGGAAGATGATGGATGAGGGGCATGCAGGGGCCCCTCGGGGAGGGCAGAGGTCAAGAGGCCACTGTGCCATGCGGCGCGGCAGCGGTGGCGCCTTCTCCCTCCTCTTCCGACCTTCCTCCCCCTTTGCCATCTCCTTTCCTCCTCCTCCTCCTCCCGTCATTTTAGATAATATCCTTTCTTCTCATAACGCGGCCAGCCAAATACTCAGCATTAGTCATACAGGTCCCTTCTGATATGCGTCATGTTTCTCATCACCCTTATTATGTTCCTGCTGCTGCTCATTTTCTTCCTCACAATGACCTACAACACGCAACCATGATCCCCCTCCATCTCCCCCTCCTACTCGCATCTCCGCCACGAAACGCAGGAAAGGGAATAGCGTAAGGGCGGTGGTAATGATGAGGAAGAGGAAGAGGAAGAGGAGGAGGATGACCAGTGTGAACATACCACGCGTCAACGATGTTGCAAGAACGCCTCCTCCAAATTCCCTCTCCATCGGCCCTTACAAACGTTCGCTGCCACTCGGGGAAATGCCCCGTCGGAACAGAACCGCCTGATAATCCCCGACCATGCCAAAACGCTGTTCCTAGGAATTCGACGCCGCGAATTCACGTTACTGTTGCGTTCAGACGAACCTGAATCGTGGCAGAGCACCATTCCTTGGGCTTCACCACTGTGACTCAATTTGAGCGCGTCGCCCTGACATTCCGAAACCGTGCCGTAGCTCAACTCCTGGAACGTCAATCCTTGAAGTTGCTGAATGCCTTTAAAACGAATGGCCACATTTTGTCAACAAAAAACGACCTCCATGCGTGATACTCTTGCGGGGCTTTGAAACGAATGTGCGCAGCGCGAAAACGAGAACCACACTGTGAAAACGACCCGCCTTCCATCTGTGAAACGGTTGAAACTTTCGAAGCGGATGTGCTCGGCGCGAGGGCGAAAATAACATTTTGAAAACCACCCACCCTCCATCCGTGATGATCCTGCAACTTTCGACATATAATGTGCGCGGGGCATAAGCGAGAACCACATTTGAAAACCACCCGCCTTCCATCAGTGAAACTTTTGCTAACTTTTGAGACGAGTGTGCGTGGCGCTCAAACAAGAACCGCATGTTGAAACGTACTCGCCCTCCATCCGCGAAGACGTTGCATGTTGTAAGCTTCAGGGTCATGCGTGGTGGGGAAGTCTCAAGCAGAACGCCCAGCCCGCCCTGCCAACACGTCTCGGGGTGCGACGGGGAGGTGCTACTCATAAGGAGAAGGGACGGAGTTGTTCAGGACGGGGGGGGGCTCGGTCGGACTCAGAATCTGCGGGCGACCCGCAATCTGTTGAGCAATTCTGGGAGCGCTTCGAACGCCCCGAGTCGCATCGAAAAAACAAACATGGCCTACACATAGAACTTCCAGAGGTCCGCACGGATTTCTTATATCGGCGCTGGATCACCCCCCCCCTGGCGCGCGGGGCGCGCCAGGGGCGGCGCCAGAGGCGCCGCCAGGGTGGCCCAGCGCCGATCTAAGCAATCCCCACGGAGCTCTGAAAATTTACGTTTATGTTTGATTTGTTCCTTTAGACGAGAAAGCTCAATGCCAACGATCTGCCTCTCTCAAAATGCCTCTCTCGCCCGTCCGTTTTAGACGGCCCAGCGCGCGTGAATCGTTGCGCCTCGGGCCGAACATTTCTGCTCATGCCGTCTCCTTTCGGAGGCGTCTACACTCGCTCCGTGCAGGGTTGAACATCGAGCGCTGCCGAGCGGTGCGAGGCGCAAGCAGGCCGCGAGCGCGAGGGCCACAAAGCAGGCGCCACGGCCCGAGAGGCGCAACCACTCACGCGCGCGGGGCCGTCGAGGGAGAGCGGGCGAGAGAGGCACGGAGAGAGGCACGGAGGGAGGCACATTGCTTGCACCGAGCTTTGTCGTGTGTGGTTGTTGTGTAGATTCCAGCATCTCCTTCGTCCTCGCCGCTAAATCCACAGCGGCCCTGCCGCCGCCTTCCTACTCGCAAGGCCCCTGAGCACCGTGGCGCGCCGGGAGCGCCGCCCCTGGGCGCGCGCGCGACAGAAAACAGGACGCAACCTCTTTCGCTGCGGGTCCCGTTGCCGCTCACATCACTACGTCCTCTGCTTTTGTGAGTTGCCAAAGAAGTATCCAGACCGCCCACTCTCCAGTCTTCTCTTCACTCCAGAATTGGACGCCACAGCCTCGCCGAGGGGGAGGCGGAGGCGGCGCAAGGAAGGAGAGAGAGGGGAGGGGAGGAGGCGACTGGCCGAGGGCGGTTCGGAGAGGAGGCGCAGCCCACGGAGGAGTCGATCGAGACGCGGAGGCGGCGCGCACACCGGCACTGGGCCGACGTGGCCGCGGAGCTGCGGGCCTGCCAGGGCAGCGCATCCCCGCGGACCGAGGTACGGCCTGGGAGAGTCGACGCGTCTGCTGGGTCACTGTCGTCTTCTCCCAGCACGTCGGGCACGGGTGACCTGCCGGGCTGTCCAGGCGCGGGCTGGACGCCCTTCTGCCTGTCGGGGGACCTGTGGAAGCACGGGCAGGTCCAGGCAGAACTGGACTGTCCCCTGCGTTGGATGAAAAAATCAAAAACGTAGCATGTCGAAGCCCCGCGCGGAGCTCCGACACATCTTGTATCCGTGCAGTTTTTCTCTTCGTCGACCTGTCCAGAGCTTTTGGCTCAAGCCGAGCTGGGCTACACTTTTTACGTCGCAGTGCGGTAGAGGCAGTCCACCACAGGATGGATGAAAAAATGAATACGATGCTCAACAGCACATGTGGTCCAACACCGACAGCGGCCGCTGTTGGGCTGTGCAAAGGGTGTGCCGACATGGGGCGGCGGTGCCACGCGAACCCGTCCACTGGGGCTTTCGGAGGAACTCCCTATGGGTGCCGCCATGGGGCGGCGGTGCCATGCGAACCCTCCCAGTGAAGCTACCAACGGGGCCATGACGCGTGTAAGGGGTGTGCCGAAATGGGGCGGCGGTGCCATGCGAACCATCCCACTGGGGCCTTCGGTGGAGCTCCCCATGGGGCCACGAAACGCATGATGGGGTGTGCAAAATGGGCTGGCGGTGCCATGCGAACCCTCCCTCTGAGGCCCTCGGTGGAGTTCCCTATGGGGTCACGCAACGTGAAGACAGGCAAGAACCGTGCCTAGACGGCACATCGGTTGCAGATCGAGTGTATGTACAATCGCACTCCAGCTCCAGACGGGATTGTGTTTAAAGCAGCTCGGTCATGCCCGACCCCGCCAAGGGGCCCACAAGGTGGACGACCCGAAAGAGCAGCGGCAGCAAGGGGCAAAGGAAGGAACGACACCCGGGACCAGCACGAACCCAGAGCCAGGGAAGGGGGGAGAGCGAGCGACAAGCGACAACGCCCGAGAGGAGGGGAGGAGGGCGAAGCCCCGTGCGACCGCCCGAAGGACGAGCAGGAGGGAGGGCAGGCAGAGGAGCGACGGAAGACGGCGGAAGAGGGGACGACGACACCACCTGAGGGCACGCTGGCTGGGGAGCTGGGGCGAACATCGAGCTTTCTAAAAATCGTCCCATATAACATATTACAAGCAATGCGTCACAGGACGCCCGGGTGGTGCGTTCTCACTTCAAACAAGACCTCAAGACTTCCTCTTTCCATGCTTGGCGATTAAACGTGCTCTGTCAGAGCGTTTGTCGGACGGCCTCTTCCTGGCTCACGGCCCCTCCGTGCACGCGCGTCGCAATTGTCCGCGCGTGCGAATGCATTACCGACGCCCACTGTAGTCTAGGACGTCCTCTGCGGCGCTTCCCGGGGTCGAGGAGACGCGAGTTCCCGTTCTGAAAAACACTCTGGCGAGGCAGCGATTCGTTTGGGCATGGCGGACAGCTCCCCAGAAGTACAACAACTGTTTGGCCAGCGCGTGCTGGCTTACAGATTTCTGATGCGCTAGGCTTCGCACCTCTGCGTTGGTAGTATGTGAAATCATCGAATGCGAAAATTAAAAATCGAATGTGAGGGTTGGGTTTGGAAAGCGTCGATCTTAACTCGGTAAAGCTGTTTGCAGACAAAGCGTTCAACAATTGAGCCTTTCTGGCCCTACTGACGTTGGCATGCCTCCAGACGGCTTGCAGCGCATCGAAAGACGCGCGAACCCCGCCTACCCGTCGGGCAAGTGAGGCCCCTGTTTTCCCATCGGAACGCAGGAGGCTGCCCAAGTAGACCGTCGAGGTGACCGTCTTGAGCGGCATGTGCTGCGGCATCTGGATGTCCATGCTGTGCTGGACGCGCAAGTGCGCGGTCTTGTCCCAGTTGGGCTCCAGCCCGTACATGCGGGCCCCGAAGATCAGCTGGTCCAAGAAATACTGCAACCTGTCGATGTCATTCGACACCAGCGCCGTGTCGTCGGCGTACGCCACGTCGGCGCTGAGGACATCAGCGCGCGTGCGCCCGAACCGCGAAATAACATCTTGTTCGACATCATCCATCAGTACGCTCACTATAGTGATGAACGCATACGGGCTCAAGGGGCACCCTTGCGCGATGCCGGAGGCCTGCGCGTGCTGGTTGCTGCTGCCAAGTTCGTCTTTAACTTCAAACGTGCGACCATCGTTTACGGCAGCGATCATCTTGATGCACGGGTCGGTTAAGCCAAACCGGGCAATGGCAATCAGCAGCGCGGAGGGGTCCACCAGGTCGAACGCCTTAGACCAATCGAGCAGGACAACAGACAAATTTCTACCTTTTCCGGCCCACGCTTGCTCGATGTAACTATGCATTGTGATATGAAGACGGCGTCCCTGGCGCTCCGCGTCTTCCGGAAACCAAACTGGCTCGGCCGAAGGCGGTCCTCGGCGCCCCCCTCTGAAATCCTGGTCAAAAGGAGAGCCGCCCAGATCTTGTAGCTCACTGCCAGACTAGAAATTGGTCTGTGATTGGCCGGCAAGGACTCGTTCCCTTTCTTGGAAATGGCGCTGGCCCTACGATACCGCCAGTTACGCGGGACCCGCTTCTGCTGCCATCAGTTGTTCAACAAGTTTTCCCTCGAGCGTCCCACTCTCCATGGGGGGAAATGGCAGTCGTCCCCGTCGGGAAAAAAACAACAGTCGTCGGGAATCAGGAGACGGGCCATCCCTGCCGACGTCGCCATACCGCCGATCACACCTCGGCGAGCGCGGGCGCGCAGCAGGCAATGGAGGGCAAGCTGCGAGCGCCGAGCGTGTGGCATTAGACAGGCAGGTGAAACAACAAGCGCTGAGCAACAACCCAGGAGGAGGGAGGAGACAAGGAGGAGACGGGGGAGGAGGAAGGCCCGCTCACTGCCCTCAAGGCAGCAGGCGCGGCTGGGAGCGCCCCCGCGCCCAGCCACCAGCATGCTGCTCGGCGTCGCACTGCCTGACGTCACAGCGCTGGTCCGTGCCAGAATGCACGCCATCCCACTCGGACAGATGGAAGCCGCAGGTGCCGGCGCTGGCGATGCTGCTGGCACAAGCGCTGGCTCCTATGCATAGCCACCTAACTGTCCCGTGCATGAGGCTATCGGCCATCGGCTCGAACCAGTCACGGGCCCACCATGTCGCAGTCGAGAACATGCAGCATATGCCACTCGCTCCACAATTGGCTGCCTGGTCCGCTCCTGGTACCCGTCGTGCTGCGCATCCGCCGTGCTGCTCCTGGTGTCCCGCATGCTCGTCGACGTGCAGCTTTTGGTATCCATCGTGCTGCGCGTGGTACTCGTCGTTCAGAGCGCGGTATCCGTCGTGCTGCTCCTGGCACCCGTCGTGCTGCGGATGGCATCTGTCGTGCAGCTCGTGGTGCCCGTCGTGCTGTAGCTCGTATCGGTCGACGTGGGCGTGGTCTCCGTCGTGCTGCTCGTGGCACTCGTCGTGCAACTCACGGAATCCACTCTGTCAGTTGAGGCTGGCAGGCCTGTAGCTGTCCCCGCCGCGTGGCCGGTGGATTGTGGGAGGGCGTCTGCCCTGGACTCGGCCAGAGTCGAAACTGTGCACGAGGTTTCTCGCCACCCGAGGGTGGACGCCGGCGTGTCGCCCTATTTGGGGGATGCCAGCCTGTCGATGTATTCCAGCGCTGCTCGTGGTCTCTGCTGCGCTGCTCGTGGGCCCCGTCGTGTTGCACGTGGTACTCGTCGTGCAGCTCATGGAATCCGCGATTGTGCTGTAGCAGGTGCAAGTGTTGGCGCCAGCGGCAGAGCTGGCGACGGCGCCAGTGTAGACGATGGCGCTGGTGCCGGCTTAGGCGCAGGCGTTGATGCTAGCGTGTCGGTGCTGGCGTTGATGCCGGCGTAGGCGCAAGCGTTGATGCTGGCGACGGTGCTGGCGTCGGCACTGGCGGGAACGCGGGCGTTAGAGCTGGCGTTGGTGCAGGCGTGGGAGCTGCTGTAGGCGCTGGCGTTGTTGCCAGTGGAGGCGCCAGCGTTGATACATCGGCGCTGGCGCAGGCGCCGGAGTTGATGCTGATGTCGGTGCGGACGTCGGCGCAGGCGCACGCGTCGGCGATCGTGCTGGCGGCGGTGCTGGCATCGGTGCGGGTGTAGGCGCTGGCGTTGGAGTCAGGGCAGGCGCTGGCGTTCGTGCTTGCCTCAATTCTGGCGTCGGTGCTGGTGTCGGCGCTGGCGTTGGTGCAGGCGTAGGCGCTGGCGTTGCTGCTGCAGCCTTAGTGTTGGCGTCGGCGCTGTTGTAGGCGTCGCCGGCTGTGGTGTCGGTGTTGGCGTCGGTGCTTGCATAGGCGCTGGCATTGGTCCGAGCGTTGGCGACGGCGTTGGTGCTGGTGGCAGGGTTGGCGTCGGCACTGGAGTAGGCGTTGGAGTTGGTGCTGGCGTAGGCGCAGTCGTTGATGCTGGCGTCGGAGCTGATGTCGGCGCTGGCATAGGCGCCGGCGTCAGAACGAAAGCGAGCGCCTATGCTGGCACCAAAGCCAACGCCTACACTAACACCGATATCATCACCGACGTCATCACCGTTATCACGCCTACGCCGGCACCGACGCCAGCACCGACGTCGAAATCAATGTCTGCGTCCGAGCTGGCCCCCACGCCAGCGCCTACGCCAGCACCGACGCCAGCACTGACGCCAGCACCAACGCCGGCGCCTACGCCTGCACCAACGCCAGCGCCCGCACCAGTACCGACGCCCGCATCGACGCCAGCAGCATTTGTTCAACAAGTCTAAGAGAACAACGCATGCATCGTCACTGCCACGAAGAATTTTCTGGAAATCGGGCGGGACGTCGTCTGGTCCGGCTGCCCTCCCCGCCCGGAGCTTGCTGAGCACGGTGCACAGCTCGTTTGCAGAGAAGTCCTCCGCGGGGAGGTCCAAATCCTGCTCGCGCCTCTGTCCGCGGGAAGGGTTCGCGATGACGCAACGTGAAGGGTGTACCGAAATGGGGCGGCGGTGCCTTTTGAACCCTCCCACTGGGGCCTTCGGTAGAGCTCCCTATGGGGCCACGAAGCGCATGAGGGCACTGGGGCCTTCGGTGGAGCTCTCTATGGGGTCACGAAGCGCATGAGGGTGTGCCGAAATGGAGCGGCGGTGCCATGCGAACCCTCCCACTGGGGCCTTCGGCGGAGCTCCCTATGGGTCCACGAAGCGTGTGAGAGGTGTGCCGCCATGGGGCGGCGGTGCCATGCGAACCCTCCCACTGGGGCCATCGGTGGAGCTCCTTATGGGGCCACGAAGCGTGGCGGCGGTGCCATGCGAACCTTCCCACTGGGGCCTTCGGTGAAGCTCCCTATGGGGCCACGAAGCGTGTGAGGGGTGTGCAGAAATTGATGTAGGGGACGTATGGATGAGGATGTTGGGGTGATAATGGAAGGGGGGAGGAGGGAGAAGGGGGAGGAAGGAAGGGAGGAAGGAAAAAGAAACGCGGGGCGCTGTCTCTTCAAAACGAGGACACAACATCACAGGATGGTTGGGAAATATGGGTACGATGCCCAGCACCACATGTGGTCCAACACCGACAGCGGCCGCTGTCGGGCAGGCATTTTTTGGTAAAGAGACAACGTGAGCGGCGAAGCCGACCACGAATCCTGTCCAAAACGATCAGGCGCTGCGGTTTTCGTGCTCATTATTTCCGCATTCCTCTTCTCTCCTCTCTCCTCCTCTCTCCTCTCTCCTCCTCTCTCCTCTCTCCTCCTCTCTCCTCGCTCCTGAACTTCCCTCCTCCTCCTCTTCCTTTTCCCTCTCTTCCTTCTCCTCTTCCTACTCGTTTGTTCTCCTCCTCTGCCTCGCCCCGGCACAGTGAGGGGCCGGGCGCGTTGCCTTCTCTTCATTGGGCTGGCGGGCGACGCCGCGAGCTCGTCCTTGAATCCGGTCGGCATGGTGCGGCTGAGGGCCCCCTTGGCGTGAACCTTGACGGGCAGGCGCACTCCTCCTGGGGATCTGGTCTGGAGGGCGGGGGGGGGGCGATGAGGGGGGGGGGGGCGATGAGGGGGGGGGATCAGGCAAAAGGCAAAGCCATGCGCTCTAGGGCGCGTCGGCGCTGCGATAAAGCTAGGGGAATGGGGGGGCCAAGCGGCAGGAGGAGGGATGGTGGACAGGGGATGGGGTGGGCTGGGAGGAGGAAGGAAGGGGGGGGAACGGACTGGAATGTAAAGCGGCGACAGAAGAGATGTTTTGTCTTTCGCGTGTAAAGCGGAGGGTGTGCAACATATATTGTATAGCGATGTAGAGCGGGCGCGGAGCCTCGACAGGCTTGAGCCAAACGCCCATGGCCCTCTGTTCCCTGCTATGCTCCACGCGTGCTGGCTGCCCTGCTGCCCAATAGCCTACTGTTCGCGCCCAGTGCTAGAAGGGCACGCGAGCTTGCTGCTCGGGCCCCCAGGCGCGGAGCCGTCGCGCAGCCACCGCCGTCGCCGCTCGCGTCGGCGCAGGCGATGCAGCTGATGGCGGCGACCGTGCCCACTCCGACGGCCTTCCATCCAGAATGGGGCCCCCTCCAAGCGTCGAGGAGGCGCGACAGCCCTGGTACCCGCCAGCGGTAACGCTCTGGTAGTGATCCTCGAATCCATCGTGGGTCTCGGTGCCTGGTATGCTCCTCCTCCTCAGCGCCTTGGGTCTTTTCTTATGTCGTGCCAGTGGCGTGCAAGCCGAGAGCCGACAGCGAACAGCCCCAGCAGACTCGTGTGATACTTCCCTGGAAGGATGGCACACAATTGCCCGTTCCTGCTTCCTACTCCCGCTCATTCCTGCGTGCGTTCCCCCGGCTTTCGCAACACGGTTGCGCTTGGCTCGGGACGTTCTGTCACCGCCGACGATGTGAGCGTCGGACCGGATGTCTGGTTTACGTAGCCAGCTACACCTACATGCGACTGCAATGGAGGCGCAACGTCTTGGTCAGTGTCTCCCCCGGACTGTCCCAACACAGCTGCTCTTAGCAAGGGGCCCTGCATCGGCGCTGCAGATGTGGAAATCGGATCGATCGACGATCTGACATCAGCGGCCACGCTCACAAGCGAGTGCTGTGGCGACGAAGAGCCCACGAACCTATCGAACGTTGCTCGGACCAGCACAGGGAACAAGGGGCGGGGGGCGCCGTGCTTGTAGATCCCGTGCTCGTTGTTGCGTGTGTGCTGCGGATCCTGTGCTCGTCGCCTGGGCGAGGAAGACGATCAACGCAGCTGCAAAACGGCACCTAGAGCGGGAAGTCGTCGGAGACGACATAGAGCGACCGCCAGGGGCACGGGGCGAAGCCACGCGGGCCATGGCGGCAGTTGGTGGAGCGAGATGCCCCGCTACCAACTAGAATGTCCAGCGGTGGCAAAAAAGGTGTTCCTTTTGCGTGCGAAGCGGAAGGTGTGTAATATAGACAGTGTAGCGATGTAGAGCGGGCGCGGAGCCTGGCCAGGCCTGAGCCAAACGCCCATGGCCCAACCCTGCTCTCTGCTATGCTACAAGCATGCTGACTGCCCTACTACCCAGTCGCCGACCGTTCGAGCAACAGAAAAGGGGAATGGAAAATGGGGATAAGGAGAGGGGGGCGGGGAGAGGCAGAATGGGGGAGGATGGAGAGGGGAGGGCGAAGGGGGAGAAGGACGGGGGAGTGAGCGGAAGGTGTGGAGAGTGGGCGAGGGGGGAGGGGATGGGACAGAGTGAAAAGGAAGGGTGGGCGAAGAAAACGGGAATGGATGGTGTAGAAAGATTCCGGGACTTTGCCTCGCCCGCTTCCGAGCAACGGCCAAACCGAGCGAGCGAGCCTCCCTCTCGTGTCAAAAGTCGTTATCTTCTTCTTATTCTTCTTCCTCCTCCTCCTCCTCCATTTCCTCCTCCTCCTCCTGCCTGCCTCTCCCTCCCCCCTCCCCCTCCCTCCCTCCCTGCCTACCTCCTGCCTCTCCCGCCTGTCCTCTTCTCCTGCCGTTCCCTCTCTCCCGGCATTCCCGTCCCACGCCTCAGCTCTCTCCACTACCTCCCTTCCTCGTCCTCTTCCCCACCGCCCCGCCCCATCCTTCCAACACTCGCCGTCCCTTTCCCAGCGAGTCGGACATTGCAGGCCAGGGGTAAGATTCGAACTGGTCGGCAGATCTCCTCCCACTGCTGGAAACATACGTGGCTGGATTCACATGTGGAACATGTGGAGGCCACTTGCCGAATACACATGTGAAGGATCACCGTACCCTGCCGCACGAGGACCGAGCTCTGGAAAGACATTTGGCCCCTTGTGCACCCCGCTTTCGCCCAGGCCGGGCGCTTGATGTGTATCCAAATTCCTGGTTGAAGTTCCAGAGAGACAAAAAACTGCATAAAGACGCTCCGCGCGGATGTCTTGGATCTGCGCTGGACCCCCTCCCTGGCTCGCCGAGCGCGCCAGAGGCAGCGCCGGAGGCGCCGCCAATGGGGTCCAACGCCGATCCCAAAGATCCGCGCGGAACGCCAAACGCTATGTCCATGCCGTTTGGCGAGGAGCTTCCAAACCAAGCTCGGCCGCACGTACGAGTGACCCTACAGTCGGGGCGTTGACCTAAGGAACCCTAAATAAGGAACGAGGCCCCTATTTGCCATAAGTTAAACTTCGATTTCCCATCGAAAACACAAGGGAAACCAATGGCAAACTGTAAAACAATCAAGGAACACCGAGCCCCTCCCCAACGAACAGGGTTCCTTCTTCAGCGCCCCGACTGTAGGCAAGAGTGACCTTTGGTGCGCGGCTTTTGGGGGGCACGAGGGGGCCACATCCAAGCGCGAAGGCCGCTGCTATATCGCATCGCGCTCAGCGATCGGGGGGGCCCGACGGGCCCGCACCAGAGGTCCCTCTGGCGAAAGGCCCCTCTGTTGCCATCGCTCGGACGTCCATTCCCTGTGTTTTTTTTGGTTTCGTGCGTGGTTTTTTCGCCAAATGATCAAGGATGCTCCTCGATGGCCCTCGCCGAAGGGAAAATGCGCACGTCCGAGCGATGCCAAGCTCTTGTCATCGACAAGCTGCAGGTACGGAACTTCCTGATATGTCTGGGCGAGCAGGCTGCTCCCCGCCTGCCGGCGGCGCGCTCGAGAGCGGGGCGCGAGGGGGGCGGCCCAGCCGAGCTGGCAGGTGGCTCCCGAGACATCCGCGTGCCTTCTGGGAAGCCTCGGGCCCCCCTCTGAGAAGCCAGGGCTCCCGAAGCCCAGACCCTTCCGAGACCTGAACAGCATCGCAACGGGAGGTTTCTCGCTATTTGCGGCCTCCGGGGGCGGGCCACTACCGGGCCCCGAGACCGTCAACAAAAAAATACCCTACGACGTACCCAACCCGATGGCATCACGTGGCAAGAGGAGTAGGGAAACATTAGCAGGAACCGTGACAGTGCAGGCGCGGCGATTTGTAGTGCGACCTACATGGGATGCGTAATGTTGCACGACTCACAGAACAACAATCGATAAGACGAGGAGTAGGTCTCAAGGCTCGTTAAACAATAGCGGGGGCGGGAACGAGGGACAGGATAATGACGAACCCAGTAGGAAGGGGCGAGGAGCCATCGCAGCAGCAGCAGCATGAATGCAGAAGGTGACAGGAGGACTAGGGCGGCGATGATGAAAGAGGAGGGAGGAAGCAAGAGACTGTTTCGTTTTTGCAGGAGCTCGGTCAACGCATGTCTGCTGCCTGTCCACAGGATCATACCTGCTTATATCTAGTGCAGGAAGCGATCGAGACCTAGCTCGCGCGCCAGCTTTTCTGCCTCCTTCCTGCATGTTGCAGTGCGGGAACTGAACCTCCGCAGTTTCTCTGCAAGGTCTGCCGGTGGGCCGCGGGAAAGAAACTCAAGGCCGGGGCCGCGCACCATCAGTAGGTTGTCTATCGTCGTCGCCCTGGACAGCATCACGTAGAGGTGCAGCCATAGAGCGTCCAGGTCGTTCGCATCCTTGCACCCTGCGTCAACAATGACTCCGCGGTGCATGGTGCGGCCCTGGCAGGCAGTGGACGTCAGGACCTCGGCGTGGGAGATGACGAAGCCAGTGCGCCTCTCCTCCTCCCCGTAGGGCGTCACTCCGCTGGCCCCCCCAGCAGCCTTCGAACGTGGCGACACTTTCGCAGATCGCAGCCCCCCAGGGATGGCGAGATCTAATCTGAATCCCCGTATGACGTCACTCCGCTGGCCACCCCAGCAGCCCTCGAAAGTGGCGACAGTTTCACAGATCGCAGCCCCCCAGGGATGGCGAGGTCGAATCTGAATTCCCGAAGGGCGTCACTCCGCTGGCCCCCCCAGCAGCCTTCGAACGTGGCGACACTTTCGCAGATCGCAGCCCCCCAGGGATGGCGAGATCTAATCTGAATCCCCGTATGACGTCACTCCGCTGGCCACCCCAGCAGCCCTCGAAAGTGGCGACAGTTTCACAGATCGCAGCCCCCCAGGGATGGCGAGGTCGAATCTGAATAGGGCGTCACTCCGCTGGGCCCCCCAGCAGCCCTCGAAAGTGGCGACAGTTTCACAGATCGCAGCCCCCCAGGGATGGCGAGGTCTAATCTGACTGGCTCCAGCTCCGACTTCCCCCCCGCGCTCCCCTCGAAAGTGGCGACAGTTTCACAGATCGCAGCCCCCCAGGATGGCGAGGTCTAATCTGAGTCCCCGTAGGGCGTCACTCCGCTGGGCACCCCAGCAGCCCTCGAAAGTGGCGACAGTTTCACAGATCGCAGCCCCCCAGGGATGGCGAGGTCTAATCTGAGTCCCCGTAGGGCGTCACTCCGCTGGGCCCCCCCAGCAGCCCTCGAAAGTGGCGACAGTTTCACAGATCGCAGCCCCCCCAGAGATGGCGAGGTCTAATCTGAGTCCCCGTAGGGCGTCACTCCGCTGGGCCCCCCAGCAGCCCTCGAAAGTGGCGACAGTTTCACAGATCGCAGCCCCACCAGGGATGGCGAGGTCTAATCTGAATCTGCGTGGTGCCTCACTCCGCTGGACCCACCAGCAGCCCTCGAAAGTGGTGACCGTTTCGCAGATCGCAGACCCCCAGGGATGGCGAGGTCTAATCTGAATCTGCGTGGTGCCTCACTCCGCTGGACCCACCAGCAGCCCTCGAATGTGGCGACAGTTTCGCAGATCGCAGCCCCCCAGGGATGGCGAGGTCTAATCTGAATCTGCGTGGTGCCTCACCCCGCTGGACCCACCAGCAGCCCTCGAATGTGGCGACAGTTTCGCAACCAGCAGCCCTCGAATGTGGCGTCAGTGTCGCAGATCGCAGCCCCCCAGGGATGGCGAGGTCTAATCTGAATCTGCGTGGTGCCTCACTCCGCTGGACCCACCCTCAGCCCTCGAATGTGGCGACAGTTTCGCAGATCGCAGCCCCCCAAGGATGGCGAGGTCTAATCTGAATCTGCGTGGTGCCTCACTCCGCTGGACCCACCAGCAGCCCTCGAATGTGGCGACAGTTTCACAGATCGCAGCCCCCCAGGGATGGCGAGGTCTAATCTGAATCTGCGTGGTGCCTCACTCCGCTGGACCCACCCTCAGCCCTCGAATGTGACGACAGTTTCGCAGATCGCAGCCCCCCAGGGACGGCGAGGTCTAATCTGAATCCGCGTGGTGCCTCACTCCGCTGGACCCACCAGCAGCCCTCGAACGTGACGACAATTTCGTAGATCGCAAACCCCCAGGGATGGCGAGGTCTAATCTGAATCTGCGTGGTGCCTCACTCCGCTGGACCCACCAGCAGCCCTCGAAAGTCGAGGTCTAATCTGAATCTGCGTGGTGCCTCACTCCGCTGGACCCACCAGCAGCCCTCGAAAGTGACGACAGTTTCGCAGATCGCAGCCCCCCAGGGATGGCGAGGTCTAATCGAATCTGCGTGGTGCCTCACTCCGCTGGACCCACCAGCAGCCCTCGAAAGTGGTGACAGTTTCGCAGATCGCAGCCCCCCAGGGATGGCGAGGTCTAATCTGAATCTGCGTGGTGCCTCACTCCGCTGGACCCACCAGCAGCCCTCGAAAGTGGCGACAGTTTCACAGATCGCAGCCCCAAAGGGATGACGTAAAAGGCAAGAGAGAAGAGGAGGAGCGAAGAGAGGAGGAGAAGGGAAGCAAGAGAGGAGGAGCGAAGAGAGGAGAAGGGATGCAAGAGAGAAGAGGAGGAGCGAAGAGAGGCGGAGAAGGGAAGCAAGAGAGGAGAGGAAGAGGGAAGAGAGGAGGAGGAGGCGGGAAGGAAGGAAGGTGGAGACCGCAATGCTCTATTCAAAACGAGTACCCAACGCAGGAGGGTTGGGAAAAACTCCGGATGAAAAAGCGGTCCTGGGGAGTGGGTCGAGATCTCTGGGGGGGCCCTCCTCTGAGAAGACCCCCCCGCTTCTTACACGATTGGGGCATTGGGCAAGGAACCCTTAGATAAGGAATCCATGGTCTGGAGGCTTGTGGAACTCTAAGCGTGGATCGGCCATGGATGTCACCGCCGCCCTCGTCAGATAATTAAGGAATCCTCCAGGGTCTGCAGCATCCTGGGCGCATTCCATAACGAACGCCCTCACCATACTCGGGGGTGTGAAGAAGCCCCTGCCGTGAGGTGTCTTGCTTCTTTCTGGATGCTGCTTCGCAGCTGTTCTGATTCCTGATTCCTGATCCCCCCTCTCTTGTTCTCCTCCCGACCGCCTGCCCGTCTCCTCCGCTTGCCGCGACGCGACGCTATTCACCACATCAACAACGGCTCGGCTCCCGCTATCGGGGATGGACAGAGCCCCCTTTAGTAAAACACCCTCTTGTGAGAACTATCGGGGGCACTTCACGTGCGCACGGCACCGCATTCCGAGTGGACCCCAGCGGGGTAGCTCATCGACGTCCAAAAACAACCGAATGTGTCCGGCGAGACGTAAATCGATCAGCGAAACCGACTGCGAACTGCACCAGTACACTCGAATGCCAAAGTCGAGTGAACCAGTGCAGATTTTCTCAGTCGACTTGTTTGGGTGGGCGCGCTTCCAATGCTCGACAGAAGGCCGACAACCCGCTCCACCCCACGTGCGCGCCGCTAGCCCTGCGAGACAGAAGACGTCAGCTACTCAAGAGCCAATGAACCCAAAGGGTGGTATCTGTGGCGTTCGTGTTCCTCCTCTGTGTTTAAACCCACACATTCCGACCGAAATGGTGTTCCCGACTTTCATTGACGCCACCCTCCGCAGACTTGGGGCTGGATGTAGGGCGCGAGGTGCTTGGTGAACACCTCGTACGGGATTTCGCCATGCTCGTCGTCGTCGAGCCGGTCGAAGAACTTGTCTGCGGCCTCCTTCGTAAGATTGAACGCGCGGAAGAAGTACTGCATCTCGCTCCGGGACACGGCGCCGTTCTTGTCGTTGTCGACGTAGCGCCACGCCTCGTGAACCGTCTTGAACTTAAACGCTGCCTTGGGAGATCCATGCGTGCTGGCTTGCTGGTGGAGAGAGCTCGGACCCCTCCCATCCCTGCCCTCTTCCCCCCTGCTGGGTACTGAAAGCCACCCGTCCATTGTGGAGGCGGCCAAGGGGTCTGAGCTGGTCGCGCCCCGAGACATCGGTCAAGAGCGGAAGAGGAAGCCACATCCGCTCAAAATCTGTCCCCCCAACATCTCCCGGGGTCCATCTTGTGCAGCTTCCCTCCCCAGATCCGTTCTTGATGGTCCCAGGGTGCGAGAAAAAAGGCCCCCAGATGCCGACAAGGGTCAAAAACTTCTCCCTCCTCCCTCCTCCCTCCTCCCTCCTTCCCCGCTGGCCAGAACCAATGCTGGGCCACCCCGGACCCCCAGCTGGCTCCAACCCGTCTTCTTCGCCAGGCCGTGGGGGCGACGCTTCCCCCGCCGCGCCGGTGCGCCCTCGCACGGGCCCGTGCGCGGGCGGGCCGGAGTCATGCCAAGATGGCGAGGCAAGAACAACCCAAAAGCAGCCCCCTCCATCCGGAGTTCCGCCTCGACCACCTCGAACAGGAGAGACACGAGGATGAGAGGCGCGCCCCAGCCCCCCGTGCGAGCGGGAGGCTCCAACCTCCACCCCTCCTCTCCGCCCAGCCCTCCTCTCTCCCCCACTCTGGCTCCCGCCCTGCTGCCACCCTCATGCCTCTTCCCTCGCCCCTCCTCCCCTCATTCGCCTCCCCTCATCCGCCTCCCCCCGTCCCCCTCTCTTGTCCTCTCCACAGCGGTTCTAGAGTGGCTGTGTAGGAAGCGTGGTGCTTGTGGCAAGGGTCAGCTCAGAGCTTTGGCCAGAATCTGTCGTGAATACATGGACTAGTTCTTGAGAGGGCTTCTGCCCAAGGCCCAAGGTCTTAAGTGAGTGAGGTTTCTTTGGTCTGGATGGTGCTTCGCAACTATTCTAATTCAACGTTCCTGATTCCCCCTCTCTTGTTCTCGTCCAGATCGCTTTTCCGTCTCCTCCGCTTGCCGCGCCGCGACGCTACTCGCCACATCACGAACGGCTCGGCTCCCGCTATCGGGGATGGACAGAGCTCCCTTGACCAAAAAACCCTCTTGTGAGAGCTGCCAGGAGCACTTCACGTGCGCACGGCACCGCATTCCGAGTGGAACCCAGCGGGGTAGCTTATCAACGTCCAAAAACAACCGAATGTATCTGGCGAAACGTAAATGGCTTAGCGAAACCGAGCGGACTGCACCAGTACACTCGAATGCCTGCACCAGTACACTCGAATGCCAATGTCGAGTGATCCAGTGCAGATTTCCCCAGTCGACTTGTCTCGGTGGGCGTGCTTCCAATGCTCGATAGAAGGCCGACAACTCGCTCCACCCCCTGTGAGCGCCGCTAGCCCTGCGAGACAGAAGACGTCAGCCACTCCAGTGTCGTGTGGACCAGTACAAATTTCCTCAGTCGACTTGTCTGGGTGGGCGCTCTCGCAGTGCCCGACGCTCCCCTGTCCTTTCCCGCGTTCTGCGAGTGCGCGTGGTCTTGGCGGCGCGCACAGTGGGGATCGGGGGAGGGTGGAAGGCTTCTTAGCAGGAGGCTGCTCCTTAGAAGGTGCCAGCCTTACATGTACAGAGAAGGCCCGCGCCTTCTCAGAAGCAGGGGTGCTTTTAAGTTGTCTGAGCCCCTCTCTATTCAGGCGAGTGACCCGTTTTGAAAAGGAACTGTCCCGAGGAACTCAGCTTGACCAGAGAGGAGAAGGAGGCGTCCAGCAGGAGCTCTGGTTTGAACAAGTGACGCCATCCACGCATGAAATCTGCGGCGAGATCCCAGTATTGAAAATAAGCCAACCTACAACGCGATTTGCCCTCCATCCTTTTGAATGTTGGAACTTTTGGACTCGAGTGCGCGCGGCGCTAAAGCGAACGCAACATCTTGGAACCGACACGCCCTTCATCCGTCTATCTGCTAAACACTTTAAGACGCATGCGCGCTGGGCCGACGCGGGAGCAACATGACGTAAAGGATGTCCCCCCACCTTTGCGGCTGCTGGAATATTTTGAAACAAATGTGCGTCGAACTAAGGCGCGAACCACATGTTGAAAACGGCTTGCCCTCCATCCGTTGAGGTCCCCATGAGGTACTAAACCGCGGAAGTCCCCGGATACCTCCAGAGAGGCCTCCGGAGGCACCATAAATTGCTCCAAATTTCCCAAGGCCTAGAATCCCTGAGTTCCGACGCTGCGGGAAAATACAACAGCGCGACGCATCACGACTAGTCCTAGACCGTATGCTTCTGCGGCATCTTGCAAGCCAGATCGATTTGTGACGGTCCTGGAGCCCGACACCTGGTGCAAACAGCCTGCGAACATAGTTGCAACACCCAGATCTCAGGGTCCTCGATCGCGGAGGGCAATAATGAAGAGAAGGTAGATGAGACTGAGTGGGGGACAACGAAAGAGGTGACTGGCAGAAGGGGGGGAAACATCGGCCTGGAATCGGCACTACATCGCCGATAGAACGGCGATGGGCCCCCGGTGGTGGGTCCGCATGTTCCTGGTCGGGGGCGGGCTATCGGGCCCCTATCGGGCATGACTGGACGATTGGCGGTCGATGCATCCCCCACTGTGCTCATCCCCCCCTAGCGTTGCCCCTGGCCGAGGTGATGGGCCAGGCGGGGGCGAGGAGGCGATCCCCCTGTGGCGCCTTCTTGCCGATGACGTCCAGGACCTCAGAGGCACCCCGCCCCAACGCCAGGCCGACCCACGCCCTGCTGCTCCTCCTCCTCCTCTTCCTCCTCCTCCTCCTCCTCCTCCTCCTCCTTCTCCTTCCTGACCCTCCCTGCGTGGAGTGTAGCCACAGAGCTTTCGAGACATTATCGAAAAACAGAAACTGTCATGATGAAATTTTAATTTCAACATGGAACCGGTTCCCGCTAGTCCCTGGACCAAAATATGTTGCAGCGACGGCCACGGAACTAGGACAGCAACAGAAACATCAAGGCCGCTTCCAAGGCTTGAACATCAGGATTCCCAACTTGACCCGTGGAATCTCTGCGCAACCTTTCGAACACACACGTCCAAGTTCTCCCCTCCTTCTCGCCCGATGGCTTGAGGCTCGGCCATTTCACCAGCGTCAGCAGCGAACCCCCTCTCGAGCCAGAGCGTCGCCAGGCAGACTGGGAGCGCGGAGCAGGCCGACAATCGACAGGGGAGCCAATGCACCGAGGAGTGGCCTGGGGCACGGGCTCGAAATCCGAGGGCCGAGGCTGCTTTAGCTCTGATACTCGCCCGCCGACTCCGCGGGCCGCCCGGGAGACGTCGCTCCACGACGACCCGGGGCCTCGTTGATCGCTTCTGTTTGCTCGTTGGGCTTCCTCCTCGAAGGAAAGACCGATGGTGGACATTGCCTGCTTCCCAGCGGATGGGAAGGGGACTTCATCGTGCTTGTCTTGTTCCTCCCTCTCCTTTGGACGCCCGAAACGGGTACGGGAACAATCGATGCCTAACATCAAATGTTGTCTAACACCGACAGTTGCCGCTGTCGGGCGGGTGACATTTTGTCTCAAATGGGCAGCGTCCTCGGCGACACCGACAGCGAGCCCTGTCCAGAATGATGATGAAATGCTGCCGCTCGACTTCGCACCGCTTGCTTCCGTAGCCGTTTTGATCGTGTCCATCTTTCTCTCTCTCTCTCTTCCTCCCGAGGGCCTCATCCTGATCTCGCTCCTGCTGGCGCTGTCCATCCTCGGGCCCGGCGAGGGCCACTCCAGACGTCCACGTTCGACCAGTACGTGGCGTGGGTGCATGCCATATTGTTCAAGTGTGAGCCCGGCTCGGCGTCTGCGGCCGCGGACATTGTGAGGGGCTACGCAGGCCGCGAGGCCGCACTGATCGACATGTTGGTTGTAAAGCATCTGAAAGACTAGCCCGCTGCTAGGTCAAAAGAGCAGCCACAGCGCCGCTCACAGCAGAACGAACCAGAGCTCCGTGGAGGAGCGTGCCAGCAACTGTGTAGCACAGGCACCGTGGTGTAGCATGCTGCTGCTGCTCCGCCCGCCTGCCCCTCCGCAGCCATAAGGCTCGAGGGCGGGAGGGCGGTGAACTGCCTTGGCCTGAGCCACTGGTACTGTCAAAAGCCACCCCCTGTCACCATCCTTACTCTGGTATCGTCTTCCTGATGTTAGGGGGTGGGTGGGCTTTGAGAAACATCTTCGGGGGAAGGGACCCCCGAACGTTTCGGGTAATTTCTCAAACCAAGCCAGACCTTAAAAACCTGGGCAAACTTTCCGGCAACTTGGTTAAGAGACTCTGAGCCTGCGTTTCGGGAAGAGGTTTCTGACTCAGATGCTCGAATGTACGGCCCCAAGGCTGCCCCTACTGAGACCACTGTATGGCTCAGCCTTTCGGGTCCGGCGGCAGAGGTCCGCAGCTGGGGAGACGACGCGGCACCGATGCCGCCACTCCCCGGACCCCACCTCGGGTTCGTTCTGACCAGAATTTCCAGGCGCATCCAGCCGTGGCGACGCGGGGCTCCCCTGGACGAGCAGCGGCATTGGCATCCCCTCCCTCCTGTGAGCAGCCCTCCAGGTGCTCTTCCTGAGCGACGCAGCACCGACGTCAGGGCGGGACCTCGTCGAACTCTTTCTGCACGTCCTTGGTGCGGCTGCGGCGCACCTTCTGTCCGGTCGGCTCGCCCACCTGTCGTCTTCCACACCCTCTCCCCCGCCCACGCCCCCCCTCTTGAGGAAGAGGTGAAGGGCCACGATAAGGGATGACCGGCTCAAGGGTGAGGGGGAATGATGAGGGGGGACAGGCACAGGGGGGAAAGGGGGGAAACATCGACCTCGAATCGGCGATACATCGCCGATAGATCGGCGATTGGCCCCCGATTGTGAATCCGCACGTTCCTGGGCAGGTTGAGGCTATCAAACCCATATCGGCGATCAGTGGGAGATCGGGGGTCGATACATCCCGCCCTAATCGCGGAAAGAGTACCCCTCGGAATGAGCAGCCATTGCCGCCCGATTTGGCGACGGGGAGCGTCGATATTAGATACATGACCAGACAAGAACGGGAAGCGTCGCTTTGTCCAGTAGGTATGTGAAGTATGCTCTTTTGTTAGTGTGCCGCGCAGATATGTCGTGGCGTGCGTGCTTGTGCGCGTGCGCGTGCGTGCGTGGAACATGTGCGTGTGTGTCCGTGCGTGGTCTGCGGCACTGCTGTGTTATGCCGTGCTGTTCTGCCGTGCTCCTGCGGTCTGCGTGAACGTATGTTGCCTCTCTGTGTGTTCGTGTGTGTGTGTGTGTGTGTGTGTGTGTGCGTGTGTGTATGTGTCTGTGTGTGCGTGTGCGCGTGCGTGTGCGTGTGCCTGGGTGCATGTGCCTATGTGCGTGTGCCTGTGGGTGCGGCTGTGTGAAAAGATGTTCTGTGTGTTCTGCCGTGCTCCTGCGTGTTCTGCCGAACTCCTGCGTGTTCTGCGCTTCTGTGTGTTCTGCTGTGTTCCTCTTTGTTCTTCCGTGCTCAAATGTGCTCTTTGGGTTCTGCTGTGCTCCTGTTTGTTCTGCCGTGCTCTTGTGTTATAGTTATAGTTATAGTCGGGGCCTTAAAGGCGACAGGAAAAGGAAAACGGGGACAGGGCCAGGCGGGACCAAAGCTCCCGAGAGACGCCGAGTCCCAAGCAAGCGAGCCTCGCGTGCCTACTCACACAGGAGCAACAGACGCGGGCAAACAGCGGGAGTGCCTTCAATCACTCCCAGACGACTCAGACCCGCGGCGTGCCATGCGGCGGCGGACCCTACGGCCCACCAGGCCGTCGCTAGGCGCTGGCTCCGCGGCTGCGAGCTCCCCCACGGCGGCGCCACCTGCGCCGAGGGGGCCAGCACTCGGACTTGGCCGCTGCTGGGGCAGGCTGGCCGCCGCCGGCTCAACTACATACCGCCCTGCCGCTGGAGCCGCTGGGCCGCTGCCCGAGCTGCTGGCCGCGGTGGAGGCTCCGCCAGTCGGCTCCGCCTCCATGCCGAGCCACCCCAGGTACCGTTCCTGGGCGTGCCCTGGCACTGGTCCTTGCGAGCGCAAGGCAAGGATGCCCTCTGCTCTCGCCCCCTGCTTGTCCTCCCGAGGCCTGCCACCAGGGTGGATCCCTCGCTCCCACATGCTGCGCTGGTTCCTCGACTTGTTGGTCAGGTTGCTGGGCCCTGGGCACTGCATCTTCAGGCGAGACCTGCCTCCTGCGTGGCCGCCCATCACCTTGTAGGCGCCACACTTGGTGCACTCCACGATCTCCTGGGTGTCCTCTCCTTCGCCCGCGCAGGCGTAGCTGAGCACGTGCCCCAGGGCGCTGAACGCGACAGCGGTGGCCGAGAGGGCTGCCGTGCTGCTCCCCGTCGAGCGGCTGTCCTCCAGGCGGACCCGCGCAGCTGGAGCGCCGCCGCCGTGGACCTCCCCAGCCTGCAGGGCCTCCGATGCCGCCGCTGAAGTCACAAGGTTGTTCCCGCCGGCGGGAAGGAGCCCTCCGCTGCTCGCGGCCCAGCCATTGACGTACTGCTCGCTGTCGAGTTCGCCGTCACCTCCTCCTCGTGCTCGCCGCTCCGTCACGTTCTCCTCGACTCCTGGCCTCGGCCGCGGCTCGAGGAGCATGGGGTTGGACGTGCCGCCGAGGTCCATGAACATGCGCCTCTCCGACTCGAGGTGCCAGTCGCCGATCCACTGGGCCCGCGCCACATCGCGGACGGCCTAGGTATGGCTCACGCCTGTGGCGGCTGCACCGCCCCTGGCCACCGCCTCCTCACGTCTCTGAGCTCGCGCCCTGAGTGGCTGCACGGTAGGCAGCTGCGGACCCGCACACCTTGCTATCGTCTCAGGAGGTTCAGGCACCCCTGCTCTGCCCACGGGCTCGATCCACTCGCTAGTGCCGAACTCGATGCCCCCAACTACGTTCTCTCCAGTGCTCAGGAGGATGCGGACACCGCTGGGCCCTGCAGCGCGTTCCTGGTCCCAGGGCGGGACGAGGACGCCCATGCCGCGGAGCCCCGCCCAGTCGCTCTCGACGACCTCGGTGCTGCTCCCATGCAGGCTCAGGACCGCCGCGCAGGCCTCGCTAAGCACTCGCTGGCCCTGGCTGTGCCCCTCCGAGGCGGCTCCCAGCGGCCTTGCCAACAGGATGAGCAGCCAGGGGAGCCAGGTCCGCTGCCTCTGCCGCCAGCTCCCGCTTGCACGCCTGGGCCACCGCTGGCCACTCGCCCAGCGCCTTGCCGCACCGCTCGGCTTGGCCTCGCTCCGCTGCTGGCTGGGGCTGCCAGACGCCGCCAGTCTTGGAGACCGCCATCGTTGCTGCTGATCTCCTCCATGGGGCAGGGCTCAGCCCACGGCGTGCGCTTGGAGGCCACTGGTGCCCCCTCGAGCTGCGCCCGCACTGCCTCCATCTGGGCGCGAATGGCAGCCCAGGCCACCTCGAAGTTGCTGGTGTTCCACGCCTCTGGCAACTTCTCCAGCTGCATGAGGAGCCCTGGTACCTGGCTGGCTCCTGTCCACTCGGCTGCGCGCTGGCGGCGCAGCGCCTCGGCTTCCTCACGGGCTGCTTCTTCGAGCGCCTGGAGCGCCAGGCTCGCCTCCTCCACCTCCTCGTCGAGCTCCGCGAGCTTCTCCTGGGCCTGGTGGAGCTGGGCCTCGACGAGGTCGCGCGCCTCCTGCTTCTGCTCGAGCTCCAGGCGGGCTGCCTGGAGCCGCTTCTCGCCCTTGCTGATGGCGTTCGCCTCCCTGTGGAGCCGCGTCGCCCGTGGCAGGGGCGAGGCCTTCTGCTCCGCTGCTGCCTTTTGGGCCTTGACCAGCTCAGCACGCTTCGCCTCCAGCTGGCTGGCCACGACGTCGGTGAAGCAACCGTCCACTCCGTCTGGGGGCTCGGCCTGCAGCGCCTCGAGCTGCTCGACGGCCGCCTGGAGCCTCTCGATCGCCGTGGCGCCTCCACCGCTGGGCGTCCCACTTGCTGCCGAGGCCGAGGTCTGCGACTTGGTGGATGCTGCCCGCGAGGCAGCTCCGCGGGCCTGCCTCTGGGCACGGCGCCCACGTGGCTGATCCACCCAGCCGTCCTTGTCTGCCTTGGGCCTCGCCTTGGGCGGGGGCGCCCCCGTCGCCCATGGCGGGGCCGCATGCCCGCAGCCCAGGCAAGAGGTGCGCCAGTCCCAGTTCCACTCGCCGCAGCTGCACATCCAGTAGGACCTGCTGCGCCTGCCGCTGCCGCCACTGCACGGGGACCTCGCCATGGCCACTGCCGCGCAGGCCGCGGGGCTGCGCCTATGCGTTCTGTGTGTTGCGCCGTGCTCCTGTGTGCTAAAGTTAAAGTTAAAGACGGGCCTTCAAGGCGTAGGAGAGGAAAGGAAAAAGGGCCGAAGGGGGCCTCCAGGGGCACCGAGCGCCACCCGAGACACGCCCTCCCGAGAGGGGCCACCTAGGGCCGCCTCGCCCCGCGGGGGCCGCACTGGGCCTCCCCCGCGGCCGCACCACAAGGCAATAACATATCTACATACAGAATACAACTGCCCGCCTCACGCACTACTCTGGGGCCGCGTCGTGCAACGCGCACGGACCAAGATGCCATCGAGGAACCGCACGCGCTCCTCGGCATCTGGACAACCTGCACTGCCGAGGCGGACGCCGAGGGCGCGGGCCTCGGCCCAGTCCAGGAGTGACTCAACTCCCGACTTCGGCCCCTGGGCCGCACACGCCACCGCCGCCGCCGAGAAGTCGCCCAGGAATGAAACGAACCCGCACGCCGAGCCCGAGTGGCCATCGCCCGCGGTGCAGCCGACGGAGTCCGCGACCAGGGGCCCCATGCCGACGGCATGCTCCATGGCCGAGCCACCCACGGGCCCCTCCACGATGTCGTCGCTGACGACGCTGCAACCGCCCAGGTGCGCCACGACGTCGTCGGCATGTTCGACGGCCCCACGCGTAGACGGCCTCGAAGAGCCAGCATCGCTGGCATCAGCCATGCCGTCCACGCTGGCACGACCGCCAGCGCCACGCTCTGCACGAGCATGTCCCAAGACGGGAGGCAGCGGCGCACGGCCTGCCCTGTCCGCAGGAGCCAGGGGCCCGCAGCCCAACGCCTCGACCACCGACTCGGCGGTCGCCACGCAGCTCCGCAGGCTGAGGGGGGCGTGCGGCACGGCCCCGCCCCGCAGCGGCGTGCGCCGCGACCGGCACGGCAGGGCGCCTGACCGCCGGCCCGCCCGTGGCCCCACGGGATGGCAGGGCTCCGCGGCGGGCTCGGCGACGCAGACCTCGACAGCGAAGTCGCTCTCCCACACCGCGTCCACGCTCTCCAGCTCGTCCTGCCCCGTCTTGCCCCCGAGCCCCGCCGCCAGGCTCCGCTCGAAGGCAGAAAGGCCCGAGCCGTCGTCGCCCTCGCCGTCGCCAATGCTCGGCGCGGGCGAAACCTGCACAGCTCCTGCAGCCAACTGCGCCTCGAGGTCGATCGCCAGGATCGCACCAGGAGGAAGCAGCTGCGTCGCCTCGGGCACGGGCCGCAGCCGCGCCTGCCCAGGCGGCGGGGCGTGCCGCGCCCAGTTCCCCAAGGCGAGGTCCTCCAGCGCCTCCTGGAGGCCGTCCTTGACCCCGAGGACCCGCGCGGCCGCGATCGTCTCCCCGAACTTGGGAGCGTGGGCGCCCACGCGGTCGGCGAGCTGCCAGTGAGCCTCCAG